ATTTAGATTTTTTTGCCAAGTTGGTTTTTAGGCGTTGGTTCAGGATAATGTATCATTTCCCTTATAAAAAATTTGATTTCCAGTGTACAATTGAGGCCTCTAAAGCAGATAGGCAGATAATTTCATTGTTTGTGGCAATTAATATCGTTCTTTAGAATATTTTTAAGCTCTGTTTGTGGTGTACTGGTTTGTGGCAAAATAGGCAAAATATTTTGCCACAAAGCAGATAGGCAGAATATTTTTAAGCTCTGTTTGGGTTTGAATGTTTTCGGTTTTGATTTTGAAATGGGTTTGTATGATTTCGATTTTGATTTTGAAATAAGTTTTCGAATCTCTTTATTTTGGTATTTATGTATTTCTACATATATATGTTTGCAGCTCTATATTTTGGTTTTGAAATAGGTTTCTGTGAAATGGTTTTCAGGGCTTAATGAAATGGGTTTAGGCTGTGTTTAGTTTCATGTGTTTGCTAACTACATTAATTGTAAGTTTTGACATTCAAACTATTTGGTGTTGTATTTTGAGACAACAAAATGTTATACTTGCTAACTCAAAGAATCCAGTAATTATAACACATTTAGTGACACTTATGATTTTTTCACTTCCTTTAATTTTTCTTTTTTTTTGTTTTCAAATTAGAAGATACTTCCTGTTGGGGAATTTTCAAAATGGATTTTCAAATTTGAATTGTTCAATTTGCTTTTAGTTTACGATTTTTTTTTTAATTTAATATTATCATTTGTAAATGTTTTGCAATAATAGATTAATCTACAATAATAGATAGATATATAATACTTGATCTTAAAATGTAATTTATCCAGTTTAATGTAATTTATCATCTGGATTAAAATGTAATTTATCTAATTTAATCTTAACATTATGTTTTTTAAATGGATTTAATTTTTTAAAAGGTTTTGGATTTGAATTAATACTTGATGGGTTTTATTTTTTAAATGGGTTTTAATTTGTTTACATTTTTTTAACAGTATTTAGTTTTGAGGTGTTGTGTGCTTTTGGATGATTTTAATTTCAAATAGCTTCAGGGAGTTGGTCTAACCAATTTGTTATGTTTACACTTGAAATTGGAATTACTCTAAAAAATTTTCTGCATTTCAAGCCCTTAATACACTTGACAGTATCAAATGGAGAGTAAATAAAAGAGTTCTTGGTATCATAGACAGAATATGGGCTAGTATTTTGGTAGCAATTTGGCAGAATATCACATATTTCAGCTTCTTTTCTTTTTTTCATTACCAAGATGAGTTGAATGCCTACATTATACTGATGTGCTTTAATATATAGATTTAGTAATATTTTTTTTTCTTTTTATTATAGATTTAGCATACATTAACTTTAGTTTCTGTCAGTGTTTACAATTTTTTTTTACTTGCTCTTATATTTTGATTTGCAATATTGGTGAACATTATAAATCTTATATGTTTATTTCTTAATTTGCATTAACATTAGGGAGAGTTGTTATTTTATTTGAGTTTTGTAGAGCATGTAATACAAGCAAAAATGTTACAAGTTCTTTAAAAAAAAAAAATTAAATATATTTTTATAACTGTATTTTAATCTTAAAATTATTTAAATCGTGCCTTCTGTCAATTTTGATTAAACATTGAGCAGAATTATTGTGAACCAAATTTCTCTCAGAACTATTAAATATTGAGGAAATGTGTCTCTCATCAACAATTTTCTATCAATTTTTTATGAAAATTATTGTCAATTTTTTTAATAAAAAAAAAACATTAAGCAGAAATTGGTTTGGTGTTTCAAAAAAAAAAAAAAGTTATATACATTGTGTTTACTGTCAACTGTGTATAATAGTTGGTCTGTCAATTATTGCCAATTATTTGAGCTATTAAGTAGAAATTATTTGAACTAAATTTCATCAAAGAATTAAAAAAAACATTATGTGAACCAAATTTCTGTCAATTTTGATTAAACATTAACCAAAATTATTGTGAATCAAATTTCTCTCAGAACTATTAAACATTGAGGAAATGTCTCTCATCACCAAATTTCTGTCAATTTTTAATCAGAATTATTGCCAATTTTTTTAATCAAAAACAACATTAAGGAGAAATTATTTTTTCATCAAAGAATTACTGTAAATTATTTGAACTATTAAGCAGAAATTTGGTTCTTACACATAAGGTTGGTATCAAAATTAGTTGGTCTCAAATTTCACCAAATTTGAATATACATTGTGCCTTCTGTCAATTTTGATTAAACATTAAGCAAAATTATTGTGAACCAAATTTCTCTCAGAACTATTAAACATTGAGGAAATGTGTCTCTCATCACCAAATTTTTGTCAATTTTTAATTAGAATTATTGTCAATTTTTTTAATCAAAAAAAACATTAAGCAAAAATTGGTTTGGTGTTAAAAAAAAAAAAAAAAAAGGTTATACACATTGTGTATACTGTCAACTGTGTATAATAGTTGGTCTGTCAATTATTGCCAATTATTTGGACTATTCAGCAGAAATTATTTGAACTAAATTTCATCAAAGAATTAAAAAAAACATTATGCGAACCAAATTTCTGTCAATTTTGATTAAACATTAACCAGAATTATTGTGAACCAAATTTCTCTCAGAACTATTAAACATTGAAGAAATGTCTCTCATCACCAAATTTCTGTCAATTTTTAATCAGAATTATTGCCAATTTTTTTAATAAAAAAATATTAAGCAGAAATTATTTTTTCATCAAAGAATTACTGTCAATTATTTGAACTATTAAGCAAAAATTTGGTTCTTACACATAAAGTTGGTCTCAAAATTATTTGGCTATTATACACAGGAAAAACATAATAGATCCAAAATTTTCACAATCAAGGATGAACAAAAAATTTCACCAAATCTCTAATAATAATACTTTTAATCTTTTTTGATAAAATTTTAAAATAGAGTATGGATAGGAGATGGTTTTCTTTCATAAAAAATGGTATGGATTAAAGATAGTTTTTAGGATAAGTTTGGAATTTTTTTGAAAAGATTTGAAGATGCGAAGAGAGTAAGGATTGGAGTATTCATATCAGATCAAGCTTTTAATCAAATTTTCACTCAAATTTGATGGAGAGAGAGAGAGAGAGAGAGAGAGAGAGAGTAAGTTAAGTAATTTACTAATCATAACCACCATGGTTTGGTTGTCCTGACTACTTTTGTTGTTGTTAGAACTTAAAGCTTGGATTACGATTGGTTGTCCTGACTTCGGTGGGTAAATTGAAGTGTAAAACATTTAGCTGATTACGTCGCTATTCATAAAATTGGTCTGTCTTAAAATTTTAAAATTTGGTCAAGATTTGTTTAAATTTGGACAATTTTGCTGCATTATTAGAAAGAAGTCAAGTACTCTCTCTCATACTCTAACCCAAGGACCTTCACAATTATTTTTTTTTTTGTTCTTCTTGGAGGCTTGAGTGCTAGATATAGTAGTAGTGGGTAATTTTGTAAATTAACTTGATATTGAAAATCATGTGTGCATTGCTACTTGCATTGTGCCCTTAGTGAGGCATAGTCAGGTTGCTTCATCGTAGTTATGTGATGATATCTTTTGATGTAATATGAGCTTCTATTCTCCATTTTATTTATATATTCTTTCCAAAATAAAAACCTAGGCTTAGGCGCCCATAGGATTATTTTGACAAAAAAGCATTATTCATTTCCATTCAACTTACTAAACCATCAAGCGCATCACTAATCATTGGAATGCTCAGTTGAAGAACTCTACATGCTCAATTTTATTTTTCAAAAATAGATGCAATCAACCATGATTTAGTCACCCTTTTAATGAAAGAACATTTCATTTAGTAGGTCACACATCTATGCAAGATATAGAGAGAGACATCACTACGATATACCTTTACACAAAAATTGTACCATTCAAACGTAGTATATTTGTTAGGTGATTCTAAAAAGAAAGGAACTGTTTTTTTTCATTTAATTTTTTTTAAATATCTAGAGTTCCTAATTAAAAGAAAAATTTGAAAGACTTGGCATTTTAACATTTATGTAATAAGGTAATTTCAATCTCAAAGTATTTTGACATGTATATTTCCAACAAATGTACTAATCTATATTTTTTTTGTTTCCACAAAGTACCAGATTGTTGTGCATATTCCTTATTGGGGATACATAAAAGTTGATACAAAGACTTTTTGGAAAGTAATGAGGAGGAAGTTTGGGCAAACGCATATTTTAAGACATGTTATTAACACATCTTTTGTAAAACATATATATTTTTTGTGTATGACAATATAATTTTTGGTGTATGACATGTTAGTGACACATCTTTTGTAAAGTTTACATCTTTTGTTAAGTTTTAACCTATTTTTTGTAAAATTTTAACCTACTCTTTTGGTGTATGACGATATAACTTTATTTCTGTTTTTTGTTCAATGTTTACACTTTTTTTTACTACCTTTTATATTTTGATATGCAATATAACTTTAAATCTTATATGTTTATTTATTAATTTGCATTAAGATTAGGGGGAGTTGTTATTTTATTTCAGTTTTGTAGAGCGTGTAATACAAGCAAAATTGTTATAAGTTCTTTAAGAAGAAAAATATTTCAATATATTTTTTCAGTATCTTTATCAAAAAATGACACAAACTTTATAAATTTTAACATAATACGTATAAATTATAACTGCATTTTAATCTTAAAATTATTTACACCGTATCTTTAGATACGGGCATATGCTAGTACATATATATAGCACACCCAAACAAACTCTAAAGCCTCGTTTGGCGACTGTCATTTTTAGCCAAAAAGTCAAAAAAATTACTAAAAAAATCAAAAAGCCAACAACTCATACAAAAAAGTCAAAGATTCCCTTTTCTCTTTACTTTTTGCACATCTTTTCGTAAAAAGTCAAAAAGTCATCCCAAACATACTAATTTTTTTTTACATCACATTTTAGCCAAAAAGTCAAAAAGTTACCAAAAAAGCCTGTTCCCAAACGAGGCCTAATTATCGAAAAAAATTGTTCAAAACAAAAATTATCGAAAAAAAGGGTTGAAAATGGTGTGCTAGAAATTTCATACGATACGATGTCGTTTCAAGGAGAAACAGTCGAATAGCTAGCAGCTCATCGCCGATCTCTGGTTTTGTTTAGGATCGAATCGGTGGTAATCATGGTGGAAAGCGAGCCTCTTAAGCCGAAGCCTCGACCAATCGTCCGTATTGGGATCTTCCTCATTTCTCACAGCCTCCTTGTTAGGTAAACCCTTCGTAAAAACATTTGGTATCGATTTAACTTTGAAATTTGAATTCAATAATACTATAATAATCTGTGTATGTAGTAGACTAATTGATTACTTGTCATGGGTTTGCAGTGTTGTTTGCTGTACTGCTGGGGTTTTGGCTCTCTTGCTGTTGCCTGTTCTCGCCAAAAACACCTACATCTCCGAAAATGCCTTGGTGCCTGGTCGGTATTCATTTATTTTTTTAACTTATTGATTTATGAATACAATGAAACACATCTTAGGATTGTTGTTGCTAGAATGGGATTACGAGTATGGTGAGATTGAGTGATGTGATTACTAGTGTAGTATTGGGTTAGAGATGTAAAATTAATTGTGTGAATTATGAGTATGGCGAGATTGAATGATGGGATTATTAGTACAGTGGTATTAGATTAGAGATCTAAACTTAGTTGCATTTGTTTGTTGGGATTGTTGCTTTTTCATGTTTGTTTTGCTTTAATGGATTGTGATTAAATTTGTGAAGTTATGTAAAAGCCTCATTATGTAGAAGGCGGGTTTGTTGTTTTTGTAAATAGTAAGTGGGAGTGAAATAGTCTTTCAACCTCTAATGCCATGGGATAGGATTAGCAATACCACCCCCATCATGATAATGCTAATCCCACCCTTTTAGGGGGATTCATAGTGTCTCGTGGGACTCTTAGTCCTGTGCCATTTTTCACAGCTAAACTTGACTTTTGTGAGGCCATGGATTGGCAATCGAATCCCACCTTCCCAAATCCTCTTGCTTCTCTGAACCACCCAAGCTTGGGTAATATAGTTTAGATATCCAGTTAATATCAATTTTGGTTTCAAATTGGATGCCTCCAGCTAATATCAATTTGTTTTGAATTAGATGCCATGCGACCAAGAGACACTTGTCGTACGTAGCTTTTTTAAACCACTAGATTAATGTAGTTTAGAGACCCCTCCACCTAATGCTAATTATTTTGAGTTGGATGCTATTAGGATCCTACATTGGTGGTAACCCTTTCCCCTTTGACGCCTTCAATCAATTATTAGTATTTGACACCTTAGCAGGTATTTTAATCTAGGCTATAGGTTGTCTCTTCTACAGCTTGAACCGCAAAGTGGCAACCCATCCAATCCCATACTCACATAGGTGCGTCCGATCCCGTACTTGAAGTGGTGGTTGACTCTTTACCAAATGATACGAATCTTTTGGGAAAAACTCACCCTTAAAAATTGGATTGCAGTGGGAGGGTGCTTGAGAAACTAATATTCTCATAGGAGGCTCACTATTAACCGATGTGGGATTGTGTGAGAATAATATTAGTTTAGGTTTATTCTTGTGAATATTGTTTCCTATTTAGGATTAGTTTAGGTTTATTTCTTGTTTCCTATTTAGGATTAAGTCTAGAATTACTATATATCAGATGTACACATTGTATTAAAACACAATTTAATACATAGAAAAGCTTTCAAGAATCTTACATGGTATTAGAGCCGTCTCTGAGCCGAAACCCTAGAAATTGACTCTGTGTTGTCTTCTTCATTAGAATCTCATTGAGTCGTAATCATAGGTGTTCTTTTTCATCATAATCGTCTCTCGGAAATCAACACTCTAATTTTATCCCTTCGAGTCACAGGTCGTAGAGCACCAGAATCGTGATTGGTATTTACAAAGTTCTCTCTCTCTCTCTCTGTGTGGTCATGTTCACCAAGTTCAAAGCTTTCTGATCGAAGTTCTCTGATTGACCAAAGTTTTCTTGGCTCTTGCATAACCTTCGTTCGAGTTCTCTCCCTAGTTTAGTCACCGAAGTCTCGATTGTACCAAATTTGTTAACTGTGGTTTGTGACCTTCAGATGCGACCTACGTCAGACACGACTTCGGCTTCTGGGCTGGAATCACGATCCATTTGGTTCGCAACTTCTCTCGTTGGTTTGTGACCTTCAGATACGACCTTCGTCAGACATGACTTCGGCTTCAGGTTCTCTTGGCATCAGTCTCTTTCTCTTCTCCGGTTTGGTTCTCTCTGATTTGGTTCTTCATCGGACTGCTTCCTTCGGCTTCAAGAACACTGGTTATTATATTTTAGGTCTATTACACTGTGATTTTGGATTATATTTGGTCCTTCAACCCCTAGTTTGGTTATTTTGTTCTATATAGGGTTTATTACACTTGACCCCTCAGCTTTCAGATTATTATGATTTATCTAGCTTCAGATCAGTGTGCTTTCTGTTATCAGAAGGGTCATTGGGAGTATCACTATCCCAAGAAGGGATGTCTGCCTGCCACATCTTCTCAGCAGTCTCAAACCTAGTCTCGAGCTCCTTCTTTTGAGTTCTTTTCATCCCTCCGTCAGTACCACTGCATTTGCTTCGACTCCTGATCTTGACTTGACTTCCTTGAATTGAAGGCTTAGATTAGTCAACTTCAGTATATACTATTTACCTCCCAACCCTCCCCGTCTGCTTTGGTTGTTTCCTTCCTTCATTTAGGTTTGCTTGGGTCTTCTTCAGGTATTTCCTCGTCTGTTTGGATTTTTGACTCTGGTGTTTCTCATCATATGACTCCTCATCTCTCCTTACTTCAAAATTATATTCCCCCTTCCTTACCTATTACTGTTAATGCTGTTAATGGGTCTAGTATGTCTGCTATATTTGTTGGATCTGTCTTACCGTCTGTTATGTCTGCTGTCTTTATTCCATCTATCCTTTATGTTCCTCAATTATCTGTCAGTTTATTATCAATCAGTCAACTTGATGCCTTCGGTTTTGATATTATCTTTTCTTTTTCTATCTGTTCTGTGTAGGGATGGCAATTTAAATCCGGCCCGACGGGGACCCGCCCCCCGACCCCGATTTGAGCGGTTTTTCCCCGAAAAATATCTCTAACGGGGCGAGGATGGTATTTAAAAATCAATCCCCGATCATTTTCGGGCCGGGGACAGGGATAAGTGTTCCAGCCCCGTGCCCGGCCCGTCCCCGTTTTTCCCCGAAGTAAAATTACTATTTTACCCCTCTAGATATATATATATATATATATAAAAACCAAACCCCTCTATATTTTACCCCTTTCCATCTACTGCGTCTCTCATCTCTCTCTCTCTCCCTTACTCAGATTTCTATTTAAAAATCAATCCCCGATCAGTTTCGGGCCGGGGACGGGGATAAGTGTTCCAGCCCCGTACTCAGCCCGTCCCCGTTTTTCCCCGAAGTAAAATTACTATTTTACCCCTCTAGATATATATATATATATATAAACCAAACCCCTCTATATTTTACCCCTTTCCATCTACTGCGTCTCTCATCTCTCTCTCTCTCCCTTACTCAGATTTCACTCTCTCTGTGTCTCACTTCTTATCATCATCATCATCATCCAGAACAGATCTTAACAGATCCGCGGACATCACTCCCTCCTCCGTCGCAGCACCGCTTCTGTCCGACCTTTGCCGCAGCTCCGGTGTTTGACCTAGACGACGGCAATAGATCTGAACAGATCTGAACAATTTCAGTTTCAAATCTTTTTATTTTTTTTTAAGTTGTTGATGATGATGATGATAGATACATATATATGTGTGTGTGTAATGAACTATTTCAGATTTTTTTATTTTTATTTTTAAGTTTTTGATGATTGTTGTTGATGATGATAGATACATATATGTATGTGTGTGTGTGTTGAACAATTTCAGTTTCAGATCTCTTCTCTTCTTTTTTTTTTTTTAGTTGTTGATGATGATGATGATGGATACATATATATGTGTGCGTGTGTGTAATGAACCAGTTCAGATTTTTTTTATTTTTATTTTTAAGTTTTTGATGATTGTTGTTGATGATAATAGATACATATTTTTGTGTTTGTGTGTGTGTGTGTGTGTGTTGAATAATTTCATTTTCAGTTCTTTATTTTTTATTTTTTTAATAAAGTTGTTGTTGATGATGATAGATAGATAGATAGATAGGTACATATATATATGTGTGTGTAACGAATAATTTCAGATTTTTTTTTTGTAAGTTGATTGTTGTTGATGATGATGAAACATTGAAACAGATTATTTATTTTTTTTTATTTTTGGTTATTGTTTGTGTTGAAAAAAAAAAAAAGAATAAGTCAAAGATTTTTTGGGGTCGGGGAAACTCGATCCCCGTTAGGGGGCGGGGGCGGGGGGTGTGCTAGCATCCTTGCCAGGGATTGAGGACGGGAATGGGAATTTTTCTGCCTTCGGGGATCGGGGACGGGGAGTGTAATCCCAGCCCTGGCCTGGCCTGTTTCCATCCCTAATTAGGTGAAGGACAAGTTGGAGGACAAGTTGGCGTAAATCTAATGTTAAGTCCAAATTGGGGATCGAGGGAGGGGACGGGGATTTTTTTGCCGTCGGGGATCGGGGATGGGGAGTGTGATCCCCTGCCCTGGCCCGGCCCGGCCCATTGCCATTCCTAGTTCTGTGCAGGATCGGATGTCCAAGCAGCAGGTTAGGACTGACCGTAGAGTTTGAGACCTTCGTGTGGTGGAGAGCTTGCATCTGCCTATGACAACTTCTCCAACTATTTTTTCCTCTTTTCAGTTAGATTCTCTATCCAATCCTTTCTATCTGTAGCATTCTAGATTAGGGCATTTGTCTACTGACCGCTTACGGTCTTTAGCTTAGTCAGGTATATTAGGTAAAGTTTCTTCTAGTGAACTTACTGGATGTCAAGGGTGTAAACTTGCCAAAATGACAGCTTTACCTTTTCGTAAAAGTACTTCTATATCTGACACGCCGTTTTCTTTAGTTCATATTGATGTTTGGGGCCTTTTTCTGTTCTCATCAAAGGGGGTTCTGCATACTATGTGTCATTTGTTGATGACTGCACCTGTTACACTTGGGTTTATATTATGACTCATAAGTCTGATTTCTATCAGATATACCGTACCTTTCAGTCTATAATTGCTACTCAATTTGGGTCTACAATTAAAGTGTTACGGTCTGACTTGGGTGGCGAATATTTTAAAAATGAGTTCAGTGAGTATTTAGCCAATTTGGGTACCATTCACCAAATTTCCTGTACAGATACACCTGCCCAAAATGGTCAAGTCTAGTGTAAACACCGTCATCTCCTTGAGATAGCTAGGTCTCTTCTTCTTTTTGCCTCAGTACCGGCTCCATTCTGGGGGGAGGCAGTTCTTACTGCTGCTTTTCTTCTCAACCGCATTTCTTTCTGGTCAGTCTCCTTATGAGGGTTTGTTCTTCCAAATTCCTAACTACTCCCTCCTTCGTGTATTTGGATCTGCTTGTTTTGTCCTTCTTTCCCACAAAGATAGGACCAAACTTAGTGCCCAGTCTGTCCTCTGTGTCTTTTTGGGTTATACTCCTACTTAGAAAGGCTATCGATGTTACGACCCTGTTTCCCGTTGTCTTTATGTCTCCCTTCATGTTTTTTTTTCTCGAACGTTTACCTTACTTTCAGTTTCCTCCTCTCACCGCCCCAGTTTTCAAAGACGATTTGGTTCATATTGATTCGTTTCCTTTTGAGGTCTCGTCTGATGAGTACATCTCCACAGTTCCTCCTAATCTCCACAGTTCCTCCTAAGCTTGTTTCATCTTCTCCTTCTACTTCACCTCTGGTTGCTTCTCCTCCTTCGGTTTCTTCTCCTTCTCCGTTGTTAGTTTATTCTCGTTGCAAGGCTCCTCCTCCACCGGTTGTCTCTGCCGCTACCGCTGATCCTCTTGTTTCTGACGACTTTGATCCTACTGCTTACCAATATCCTACTCGAGCGCGTCATTCTTCAAACAGGTTGGGTTGGTCTAATACATGTTTTTCTGCTTCATATCGTACTTTTTTATCTGTTATTCACTCTTTTTCAGAACCTCAATCTTATAAGGAGGCCTGTTAGGATCCTCATTGGGTTCAAGTTATGGAGGATGAGTTGTCTGCTTTACAGAAAATTAGTACTTGGGAGTTGGTTCCTTTGCCTGTTGGTAAGAATCTGGTTGGTTACAAATGGGTCTACAAAGTCAAGACTTATTCTGATGGTTCTCTTGAGCGCTACAAAGCTCGTCTAGTTGCCTAAGGTTTCTCACAGGAGTATGGTATTGATTATTAGGAGACCTTTGCTCCTGTTGCCAAGATGACTATTGTTCGTACTTTGATCTCTGTCACTGCTATTCGTTCTTGGCCTCTTTATCAGATGGATGTTAAGAATGCTTTTCTTAATGGCCATCTCATTAAGGAGGTTTACATATGTTTCTTAGCGATTTCTTGATCTCTTGGAAAAGTAAAAAACAAATTGTTATTTCTTGTTCTACTACCGAAGTTGAGTATCGTGCTATGGCTATGCTACTGCTAAAGTTGTCTGCCTTCGTTGTCTTCTCTCTGACTTGGGTGTCCCTCATTCTTCTCTGACCTCCCTCTATTGTGACAACCGTAGTATTATTCAAATTGCACATAACATTGTCTTCCATGAGCGGACCAAACATATTGAAATTGATTGTCACTTTGTCAGATGGATGTTAAAAATGCTTTTCTTAATGGCCATCTCATTAAGGAGGTTTACATACGTCCTCCTTCTGGCCTTCACCATTCCTCTGGACAGGTTTGTCACCTTCGACGTACTCTATATGGTCTGAAGTAGTCTCCTCGTGCTTGGTATGATTGCTTTCAGACTGCTATTACTGAGCTTGGGTTTCATCCTTGTGCCCAGGACTCTGCTTTATTTCTTTTTTACACCTCTGCTGGATTTGTTGTGCTATTACTATATGTGGATGATATGATCATCACTGGTTCTGACTTTTCTGCTATATCTGAGGTCAAGTAACACCTTTTCCACACCTTTGAAATGAAGGATCTGGGCTCACTGCGGTGTTTTCTTGATATTGAGGTAGCTTTTCTCCTAAGGACTATTTTTTCTCTCAGGCCAAGTATGCCAATGAGGTTATTCATCGTGCCGGTAGATTTCTGATACCCCCATTGAGCTTAATGTAAAGCTCAACACTACTGATGGTGTTATTCTGGATGATCCTATTCTATATCGAGAGCTCGTGGGTTGCTTAGTCTATCTGACGGTTACTCGTCCTAATCGTGCCTATGCTGTTCACGTGGTTAGCCAGTTTGTCTCTGCTCCTCGCTCTACACATTGGGCTGCCTTAGTTCGGATTCTTCGTTATCTTTGAGATACTATCTTTCAGGGTTTACTATTATCCTCTACTTCCTCTCTGGATTTGGTGGCCTATGCTGATTCTGATTGGGCTGGTGATATTACTGATTGCAAGTTCACGTCTGATTTCTATATGTTTCTTAGCGATTTCTTGATCTCTTGGAAAAGTAAAAAACAAACTGTTATTTCTCGTTCTACTACCGAAGTTGAGTATCGTGCTATGGCTATGCTACTGCTAAAGTTGTCTGCCTTCGTTGTCTTCTCTCTGACTTGGGTGTCCCTCATTCTTCTCTGACCTCCCTCTATTGTGACAACCGTAGTATTATTCAAATTGCACATAACATTGTCTTCCATGAGCGGACCAAACATATTGAAATTGATTGTCACTTTGTTCGTCAGCATTTGCAGTCTGGCTCTATCTCGCTTTATTTTGTCTCTTCAGCTCTGCAACTTGCTGACTTCTTTGCCAAGACTCACACCACCGCTTGGTTTCAGTTTCTTCTTGGCAAACTCTCAGTATTTTCTGCCCAAACACTTTGAGTTTGAGCGGCAGTGTGAGAATAATATTAGTTTAAGTTTATTCTTGTGAATATTGTTTCCTATTTAGGATTAGTTTAGGTTTATTTCTTGTTTCCTATTTAGGATTAGGTCTAGAATTACTATATATCAGATGTACACATTGTATTAAAACACAATTGAATATACAGAAAAGCTTTCAGGAATCTTACAGTAAGATGCATCCAAAGTTCTTACAATTGAAACTTGTGATATGATAAATCCAACATTGCAGTGTGGTAGTGTTTTCAACTAGTGAATTCTTCTAAGACTCAGTTTTCTCTACAAAGATAAATGGAGGGGAAAATGTAGCTTTTAGAAGTAGTTGAAATATTACTCTTTTTAGTATTGGATTCATGCTGAATTTTGTTGTTGTTTCTTTATGCTATTTATTTGATTTGGGTCCTTGGATTTGTGAACGCAAATGAAAAGGAAAAGAAAATGAAGGCGAAGAAAATAAATGCCCCTTTTTTTTTTTTTGTGGCTTGGTTGAGTTAGGAAAATGAGAAAGAAATGAATAGCAATTAGTGAAAATTAATCAATTTTTTGAAACCTGATATTGGTAAAGGAAAAACGAACAGGAAAGGGAAAAAGAAAATGAAAGGGAAGAAGCTAAATGCCCTTTTTTTTTTGGCTTGGTTGAGTTAGTAAAATGAGAAAGAAATGAATAGCTATTGGTGAAAATTAATCAATTTTTTGAAACTTGATATTGGTAAAGGGCAAATGAAGAGAAAAGGAAAATTAGGAAGAAAACTATTTTCCTAAACTTTATATCTCTTACTTGAAAAGTGATATACATTATTATTATTTTATTGAAATGATAAGAAATCATGAAAAAAAGAATTCAAGTGATGTGGAACTAAAAGTTTCTCACATGCTTTCACCATCATTCTTAAGGCAGTGTTTAGATGGAACATCAAAATTAAATAATTTAAATATGTGAGCAAAACAATTTGTTGTTATATTTGCTTTAAAAGCAAAACTAGTTTTTCAAATAAACAAATCTTGCTGTTAATTTTGTTTACTTGGGTCTGACGTGGTGAAAAATCTTAAATTGATACTTTTAAGCCTTTTCATAGCTCTCATTTACTTCACTAAACTCATGCAGCAAGCACTGTCTGCTTTCATAGATCATTTGATCTGATGTGCCAACTGACTTTACGTTTACATTTTCTGCTAAAACTCACATATCACAGGTTCTGCCCACCCCATGCTTACCTCTCAGGATGTTTCAGAGGCAAATAAATTTGTAAGGGAGATAAACAATTTGAAACCTACGGGCACCAGCATGTATGTTCTTTTTCTGCTGTATGATTTATGATTTTTCACTTTTTGTGAGTTATAAGTGCATTGCATAGTTTTATCTGATGTATAGCTTAAACACATTATTCATGTTATATTCATATCAATCTGGTATGCATTTGGATCATGCCATTGGTATCAAAGACCAATATGAATGGTTATGTTATAGTCTTGTATAGTTACATTGCTTCTCTGAATTTGTAAGGTAAAATTTGTGTGACGTGACACCACATTTGCTTACTGAATCATTAATCATATATGCATTTGTGTTTGCATGAGTGCATGTTATGCTTTTATGATGTGCTTATGTATATAATACTCTGTAAAATGTTCTCTTGACTGGAAAGTGGATAATTACGTGAATACTTTTTCTGTTTCAGCAACATTTTTACGGTTGAAATCTTGTGACAAAAGCTCATTAGTTTTAAAAGATCAAGTTTTACTTCCTCTAAAGAGTAGGAAGACAAATAACATGATATAGAACTCAAAAGTCTAGAAATCATAATGATTGTAAACTGTTACATTTGACTATATTCCCCAAGGTTTCTTGTTAATCATGTCATGTTCCCTTTATCCACATGGAAAATGCCAAGAATCTATATCCATGTTTTTTGTCTTTGCGCTTAAAAAATGACCCTGGTTGTGCTTCTGCAGGACTTGATTGATAGTTGCTTACTAAAATGAGAATAAATTAATTTCATGTCTGCTTCAATCATGTCCTTATGACCAGCAAGGCAGCACACAACACTCATCTTTAATACTCCATCTGAAGGCGTTGGATTGGTCTTGCCATTTGAAACTATATTAAGGTGTTGGCATCTATACATTTTGGTATCTTGAGAACTTCAAATCTTAAATCACCAATGTCTTTACAAATGTTTGCCTTTACTAAGGCCTCGTTTGGGAACAGGCTAATTTAGTAATTTTTTGGCTATTTGGCTAAAATATGAGCTAAAAAAAACTAGTATGTTTGGGATGACTTTTTGGCTTTTTACGAAAAGATGTGCAAAAAGTAGAGAGAAAAGAAAATCTTTGACTTTTTGGTATGGGTTGTTGGCTTTTTGGCTAATTTAGTAACTTTTTGACTTTTTGGCTAAAAATGAGGGTTCCCAAACGAGGCCTAAATAGCTAAGAAGCATGGACACGAACTCGCAACATGACACAGACACGCCAACACGCCAATTTTCAAAAAATGTAGGACACGACACGTGAGGGACACGCATAAAATATATAATTTTATATATTTATTATATTGTATATGTATGAATATAACATTCAAAGATAATAAAAAATGCAATATGACACTAATTCCTATAAATTTATATGGTTTTTTTTATTTATTATTGTATGTTAAGTTGTTTTGTTCAAATTTATAATTAATTTCACTTGTGTCTAATTGATAGACGCATGTGTTTAAGTGATAGATATGTGTATCCTCCGAGTGTCCAAAGAGTACCGGGTCTTTAAAAAAAATTAAAACATAGAGTACGTTTTAAAGAGTGTCGGACATGTGTCGGGGAAGTGTCTAAAGAGTGTCGGTGTCCGACACGGACATGACACGATACGGATACGTCACCTTCTTAGAAGTGTCCGTGCTTCTTAGCTAAATAGTCATACTTGTATCTTGAAACATCATCAAGATACCACCAATTGAATAAATCAGAACTTCAAAACTGTACACTATGTTCAACATCTAAGAGAGATGTTAATATGAATGAGATATAATTTTTTGGGCTAATATTTCACGTTTTAGTAGTGTGCCAGCATGAATTTGCAATTCCTCTAGTTCCGTTTTTGTTATCTTTACTCCTTTTTCCTTGCTTTGTTTATAGTTCAAGCTCATAATTCTAGAGCAAACTGGGCATCTGGGAAATTTTCTGATTTGTGTGTGTGTGTGTGTGTTTTTATTTATTTATTTTAATATTTGTTATTTTTTCATTTATGCTCAGTTTAGTTAAATGTTTCTTCTTATCCATATTGAAAATGCAGAGGAATCTCAGGCCTGATAGCACAGCATATGGTGGACTTAGGTGCTGAAGTTTGTTATCATAAGTTTCACCCTCAATTAAATAAGTTTCATCCTCTGCACTTCTTTTCTGGTCCTGACTCTGGAATAATCCAAGAGAACTGCAGTTGTTCGTCATATGGCATCAACACCGTTGGAATTATAAGAGCTCCACGTGGTGATGGGAAGGAAGCTATTGTCTTGGTGACACCTTACAATTCAGTGAATGTCTCACTGGGTGAGGCCTTATCATTAGGCATTGCATCCTCGGTATTTTCTTTACTTACCCGAGTTACTTGGCTAGCCAAGGATATTATATGGCTTGCTGCGGATTCACAGCATGGAGAATATGCTTCAGTTGCTGCTTGGCTAAGAGATTATCACACACCTTTATTTGGTGGTTTGGAAAAACTAAATGCTGAAACGTGTCATGAAAGCATTATGTTATATGAGTTGAAAAAGAGTCTGGTTACAGGAGCAGAAGTATCTGATGTGTTTAGACGTGCTGGGACCATGGCTGCTGCCCTTGTCATCAAGGTTGCCAATGGAAACGAAGAAGTTGAGAAGGACACCCTCAGCATTTATGCTGAGGCGTCCAACGGGCAGATGCCAAACCTTGACCTCATCAATGTTGTGAACTATTTGGCAGTACATGGGCAGGGATTACGTGTAAAGGTGGAGAAATTCTTGTCTTTGCTTGATTCTAAGTGGCTCAGGGTTCTGGGTGAAACATTTGAGTCTCTAGGAAAAGTTGCTAGAAGCTTAAATCCTCAATGGAAATTTGGTATGCCTGTTGCAGATTATATTGAAGGCACTGCTACACTTGCCAGTTCATTATATCACCAGGTAATCAGTCTCTCTATGTTTCCTCTCAGGGTATCTATAGTGATTGATATAGGAAGCTTTTCTACCTTTAAGGTTCCCAAGTGCTTAAACAGGGGAACAAATGGGTGGTCTATATTTTCACTGCCTATTGAGGATTATGTTAATCGATTAATTCATCTATTCTGCTGTTAGGCATTAGGTGTTCCGACTGGTCCACATGGTGCTTTCCGTGATTATCAAGTTGATGCAATTACTTTGGAGATTGCACCCATAGTTTCTTCAAACAAGGGCAGGCAAAATGAGTTTCTTCTGCGGGGTGGCAGGTCAGTACTAAGTTACATCTTATGTGTTCATGAACTTTTCTTCATGAACTTATGCCGAATATCCATGGAAAGGTTTTAGCATGTATAGCTTGCAAGTTGTGCGACTCGATTAAGCATCCAAACTTAACACTATTTAATTTAACAATATGGGCATGGATTATTTTGGGATATATATATATATATTAGTTAGGTTTGGATTGACTGCCTTGACACTTTAGTATTAGGAAGACCAACCCTCCTTGTGTTGGAAAGAGGACGACAGTGGCTAGGCCCTCCCTTATGCTATTTAAAAAAAGAAAAGAAAAAAATTGAATGGATATTTTAAAAGGAGTACTATTTTTTGTACGATAGTTATAAAAAGGGTAGAGGGTGTATGATGCATAGATGCCTGTAATTGGTTCAATAATGATATATTGAGCCTGCATCTTTCTAATATTTTGCTCATCAATCTTCAAGTTGTTTAGCTGCTTCTTTGTAATTTTTTTTTAATTTTGAATACCTTCTTTAGGCTGTGGTAGGGTCTTTCTTGTGCAGTCTTGCTTTTCTTGTTTGTTGTTTCCTTACTATTAGAGCTTGAATTATTTTGTTTCATAAACACTAAAATGGTATTAGTCTGTATGGGCAACTTTGGGCAAAATGTCTCCATTTCTTCTAAATAGTCAACTAATACAATTTGATGAGTAATCTCTTTCTTTGTGGATTATAGTTTTCGGTTTGTCATTGCAGGTTAGTTGAAGGAGTGTTACGGTCAGTAAATAACCTCCTTGAGAAGTTTCACCAGTCATTTTTCTTATACCTTTTAACATCTCCGAGTAAGTTCGTGTCAGTTGGAGTGTACATGATTGCTTTTGCACTGCTTGTTGCCCCCCTTCCATTGGCTGCAGCTTCTCTTTATACTGATGCCAATAAGGTTGATTCCAGTTCAGAAAAAGACACACTCACTTCTTCTTCAGCCTCTGTTAACGTTCCTGCCATCACTTTTAAATCGTGGAATTGGCTTCACGCAGCAAAAACAGTGTTTATTGTTCACATATGGAGTGTCATCATTACATTGCTTCCTTATTTCATTGGTCAAATACCCAATTGCACACCAACAAACAGTCTTTTAATCTGGGTTCTGCTTTCAGTGTTCTGCTTGCTTGCCTTGCGCATGACCTTGGGCTCTTCCTTTTCAATTATCAGTGTATCTCAACTTCAAAAAAAGGAATGGGCTCTATTGAAATCGGTGACAATTTCAGCTACCTTTGTGAGTCTTTGTCTAATGTCAGTCATTAATTTTGCCACAGCAGAAATTGGAGCTCTGTTGATTGTGCCAATGTGTTTGATGGCCACACCACTGAGGTTTGAACTCAAAGCTCGGTCTCTGAGGTCTATCACCAGGGCAGCTTGTAATCTGGTGTTGGCATTCATTGGGTTTCCTCCCAATGCATATGTCATATCAAAGGGACTGTTTGAGGGTTTTGGCAGCGTGAATGTTGGTGACTTCTGGAACTGGTTGGATTCCCTTAGGGCATGGAACAGTGCCACGTACCTTTATGTATGCATGGTTCACATTCCTTGCTGGGTATTGTGTGTTTACATCTTACTACATCATTGCTGACTGTCATCGCACATACGCATTGCTGCATCAGTGAAACTGAAGGTTAGAGGTATTCTTCTTTCTCTTTATTTCATCTCAATTCGAGTGGTCCTTTCAGTTATGTAACGTTTCACCTCAGAAATTTGTCAAAAAACATAGATTGAGGTTATAGTGATATGAAATTGCAAATTAGGTCATAGAGGCACATCAATCTGAATTGATTTTCCATCATTAGTAATGGTTGTAGAGAGTGGGCAACGATTGATATGTATATTATGAGAATTGTAGGAGGCATGTCAGTCAGTGAGCTGGATTGGCATATTTCAAGAGTATTATTATCTTTCGTGGTTCAATTACTAGACTTGTTAGCTGAGCGTGGATGAGGTTTTTTTTTTTTTTTTTTTTTTTTTTTAAATTTTGTGTTTACCTATAATGGAATATTTGTTGATGTTGATGAAATTATGGAGCATAGTTTGGATTCCCCATCTTTTTGTGTCTCTATCAGTAAGGTAAATCCCCTCTTCTATAATAGGGGAAATATCATGTCAGTGGGAAATGAGGCAGAGATTTACAAATGAATGAACACTAAAAACTTGCACCCCCCACCTATTTTTAAATATTTATGATCTTTTATACTAAAATGTTATCCCCTATATAGCATGGGTAATGTGTGTGTGGAGTGTCTTTTCTTAGTGTCTAATTTTCCTATCTTAAGAAAAGTTACGAATTTTCGTAGTGTTAGTTACTAACAATTATGGTACGTTTACAAAGGGATGTAATACAAGAGAATTCTTAGTTATGAATCATTGTAGTTATGCTACGAATTTTATAGTTTTGTTTTTTTTTTTGTTTGACACTAGGTAAAGAGTAAGTTAAATTAGTACAATTGGGGGTGTGATACTTCTCCGTAAGTTCAAATGTCAAACCTTTCTCTAGAAAATTAGAGGTACACTACTTGAGTTACACTTGAGTTTTACCTCGTGTTTATGTTATGAACATTAAAAGGTTACAAATTTTTTGTAGTGAGAAAATTTATGAACTTCAAAATAATTTTATAATCATTGTGATAATACATTATGTATGTACCTTTAAAAAGAGGGGGTGTATTGTAGAATTTTCTCTTTTCCCTATCAGTATTGAAAAAGTAGATTGTGACAAAAAGAGGTTGGTTGATATGGACCAGGTGCTTTGCTGACCTAAGTCATGCTACAAATAGAATATTAATTAATTTTTTTTTTTACCTTTTTGTCATGGATGATGAAAGAAGATGCTGAAATTCATTGTTCCCATATTCTAGCCCCACTGAAAGAGGAAGGAACTTTTAGTGGTTGATACAATGGAGTTATTTGTGTACTTTAAATGAGTTGCTTATAACTTATTTTAATTTAGGAGTTTGTGTTAGATTATTTAGTGCAACTTCTAAGTTATAGCTTATTAGGTAAAAATAGTTTAAATAAGCTGGAAAAAAAAAATAATTATCTAGAAGTTGGGAGGGATGCTCTTGGTTTTTGCTTTTTGATTATCAGTTTTTAGCTTATAATAAACTGCACCAAATAGACCCAATGTCATGGTGCCAAAATATGACTATAATTTTTCAATTTTGTTCTAATGGTGCAAATGTTATTTCTTACAAAAATATCAAATAAAATGTTATGTGAGTTCAGTCCCATCATGAGAGAGTAGAGAGAGTTTTTAAAATTTTGATAATTGTCAAATTTTATATGAAATTTAGATTGAAGGATTTTTGGAAAGACAATTTATCATTGAAGATGCTCTTAAAGCTGTACAAATCACAAAGAAAGAAATAGGAGAGAGTTCAATGGACCCCCTGAAAAGGAGAAATAATAAAGAGGTAATGGGAGGCCATACCTTTCTTTTACAATCAACAAATTACAAAACATACAAGCGCCAAAATTTATCATAACTAAAATGATCCCACAAATATTTGAATCTGATCCCACAAAATTTGTAAGATTGTTGTTGTTCATTATACACACACACACACACACACACACATATATATATATATATGTATCTATTAGATCTAAGAAAACCCTAACAAAAAAAAATTTAGATCTGAGAAAGCCTTAACAAGAAAATTTAGATCTGAGTTGTTCTCAGATCAGATCACAGAGAGAGAGAGAGAGGCCGAGAGAGAAGTTCTCACAGATCTAAGTTGTTCTAGCCAAATGTTGTTAAACTCCGAACCCTCGCTGTCGGTCGATGGGGATGGCGAGAGAGAGTAAGAAGAAGACTAATTTTCTGTTGGTGGAGCAAGATCTGGGAGTTCATGGAGTTGGTGAGCAAACCCTTTTCAAACATGATGAAATGGCAACAGATTTCATGGAGAGAGAGAGAGAGAGACCAGGAGAGAGAGACAAAGAAGCTTGTTTGTGAGGGTACGTGTGGGTTTGGTTTATATATATAGAGGGTATAATGGTAATTTTAGTTTGGGAAAACGGGGACGGGGCTGGGGAACGTATCACCGTCCCTGGCCAGAAAATTGTTAGAGATTTAGTTTTGAATACCATCCCCGGCCCGTCGGGGTATTTTTCAGGAAAAAACCGCTTTAATCAGGCCCATCGGGTTGGGTTGAAATTGCCATCTTAATTATCAAAATTAATGCTTTTTGTTTAGAAAATGAATTTATTCATATAATTTAAAAGTATGTGAATAAAACATGATATATATATATATATATGTATATATATATTGACGGAATAAAACTTAATATTTGATTAGTTTAAATTTGTGGATTTTATATCTAAAATGTATATTAAAATTTTTTATTTGTTAAAAAGTACTTCAATATGTTCTGTTTCTATAATAGTAACAAACGTAATTTCAAGTCAATTTTATGATGAGAAAAAAAATAAAATCTTTATGCTGACTTTTTTTTTTTTAGATCAGGAAGAAAATATTCTTTGCAAAACCGATAAAAAATCGAATCAATCTCTGTTAAAATCCACCTACTCTCCACCTACTTCACCCACTTAAACCTACTCCACTAAACCTAACCCACTACACCACTACCACCTCACATACTCCACTAAACCTAACCCACTACACCACTACCACCTCCACTTCACCTACTCCTTACCTACTACACACTCACCCTCTTCTATATATAGGAATCATGAATCATTGTAATAGAACATTAATATCAATCAATAATACATAAATTCTTACAATCTCGTACAACGGCAGCAAAAGATCTCATAAAGAGACAACAAACTTCCATAAGAGGAGAGAATGAGAAAAACCCTTACAAAGGACGGACACAACCTCCACACAGAGAAGATTATTACAACAGACACTAAAAAAAATAAAAAGACAAACCAAAAATAACCAGATCCAAGTTGCCAAACGCATCCAAAACTCCTTTACACCGCAATCTTCAACTTGAACTCTGAAGACCACACCTCCACTGATCAAGATAGAACATTGAGGTGAGGTGGTCGCCTAGCGTGAAACGAACGTGGTAAACGTTAGTCTTCGGATTGTGAGAAGATCTGAAACCAGATCTTAAAGTTTTAGGTTCAAGAGTGAAAGTTTGGGCGCAAGCCAAACATCAGATTTGGAAAATCAGAAAGAGAGAGAGGCGACGCCAACATCGGTAGCCAGTAGCAGATCTGAAAGAGATGAGGCAGATTTAGTGAGAGTGGATCCATGGAGGCAGGAAAGTAACAGATCTAGTGGCAGCACCGAAAAGGATTGGAATGACAAGTTTCCAATATTATTAAGCAAAAAGACAAAGAAAAAGAGAAAAAGGGGGTAGAAGGAGGAGAGAAAAGCAGTCCCTTTCCTACAGAAAGTGATCATAGCATGGTCCAAACAAGATGAAAGTAATAGTTTTCTGAACACACCTAGCAGAAGGCTTAGAGAGGGAGGTTTAGAGTAGGAGACTTAGAAAGAGATGCTCTGTCACTACTAACTTAAAAACACCATTATGCTGACTTTTAAATGATGTGAAACCACACATTTTTAGAAGAAAAAAAAAAAATCAAAATCAAAATCACATAGTTAATGATTAATTGTGATTACATGTGATCCCATTTTTCTTCTTAAGGACCATATTTTATGAAAAATTGATCATTAATAGCTTCATTTGTTATGTACTTTTTTTTCTTATTTATTTATTTTTGCCTATTGGGTATTTCAAAATTCACCTTAACTAATTTCCAATTATATATAATCCTTTTATTTCACATATACAAAATAATTATTAAATCTAAATTTAAATTTCACCATTATATCTGAGTCCCATACTCTAACCAGTAGATGAACCCTAGTTCACTTTTTTATGCAATTTTTTTTTTTTTGAACAAACTATTTTGTGCATTTACAATATTAAAAAATTGTGTGATAAATTGTCTCTGTAACACAAACAATAGGGGTAGTTAACAGTATCACTCCAACACCCACCCCCTCCCTTATTCTATAAAATCATCATTCAATTTTTAATTTTGAATACTTGGTGTTAAAATCCACCTACTCTCCACCTACTTCACCCACTTAAACCTACTCCACTAAACCTAACCCACTACACCACTACCACATCACCTACTCCACTCCATCTCTCCTCTCCTCCTCCCCCTCTCTCCTCCTTCCTCTTCCACTTCCCTTTCCTCTCCTTCCTCTCCCTCGTTGTCGTGGACGGCGGCAACACCTCCACTTTATCTGATAACTTCCTTCTCTCCGCCGCCTCATCCTGCTCCAATCGCCGCCACCTCTGCCTCTTAACCGGCCCAGTCTCCCCTTTCTCTCTCTCTCTCTCTCTCTCTCATGCCCTCACCTCACTTCTTCTCTCTTTTTTCCCTCTCCAGACCCCTCTCTTTCCACTAACTCCTCCTCCTTTGTTCTATCAAAGACCTCTCCATCGTTTTCAGCTTTGTCACTGAAGATTTCGATTCGGATCAATTCAACTCGAGGTTTCAACATAGTGATTGTGAACTCCAATTAGAGAGTCTAGGGTTGTCCGGGACTCGGTACGGTGATTACGGACTCGATTGGGTATGGAGGAACTGTAAAAAGCTCAAGAAATTGCAGCTACGGAGCTGCGAAGTCATAGGTGATGATTTGGATTTTGTTAAGTGCTTGCAGGGCATCCGAGAAGTGGGATTGAGGCCTTGTAGGACTATAATTGATGAGGTTTTGTTGAAATTAGCTGAGAATTGTACATCTCTGAAGTCGGTATTGGTATATGATGGTGGTAGCAGAGAGGGTTTACTTCAATTCATCAATCAAACCCGGTGTAGTTTGCTAAAATTCGATTTTCGCTTACCCTTTGGCCTCGAAAACAGTCATTTATTGGCCATGGCGGAGAATTTCAGGGGTTTATCAAGTTTTCGGCTACAAAGTTGTTGTCTTGTT